TGATTCTGAAGGTATGTTTATTATTCATACAATTTTCACAACATATACAAGTCTCTGCAATTAGAATCCAAATACAAAAAGGAAACTGAATATATAGATTTGATACAGTAGTAATGACCAACTTATTCAGTAAATCTAAGATTTGATTTGCTTTGAATTACTGTCTGTGATACACCACTGCAAGACGGAGGTGCCGTTGGCAACACCGATCTTGGATCTAAGAGTGGAGAATCGAGCTGTGGAGAGAGATTTGGTGAGGCCATCGGCCAGTTGATCATGAGACAAGATATGAGAGACATGCAAAAGCCATTTATCAACCAAATCTCTCACGAAATGAAGATCAATGGCAATGTGCTTCATGTGAGAGTGCATGATGGGATTCAAACTTAGGTAGGTAGCACCCACATTATCACAGAAAATGGCAGGAGAAGCCGGAGGAGAAACACCCAATTTTGAGAGTAAGTGACTGATCCAGATCACTTCAAAAGCAGTAGCCGCGAGCGCCCTGTACTCAGCCTCGGTAGAGCTCTTGGCAACAGCTTTCTGTTTGGCAGTGCGCCAGGAAATGGGATTGGAACCTAGAAAAACCAAATAGCCAGTGGTGCTAACAAATGAGCTATGATCACTGGCTTAGTAGGCATCCGAAAAAGCATGGAGAGACAACGATTGTTGAGGGCGGAGCAGGAGCCCATGGAAGCATGTACCCCGCAGATAGCGCAACACCCTCTTAGCAGCCTGTCGATGGACAGTGGTAGGTTGATGCATGAACTGAGATAGCCAGTTGACGGCGAAAGAAAGATCAGGACGCGTCATGGCCAGATATTGCAAGGATCCCAGAAGTTGCTGATATTCAGACCCATCGGGTGGAGTATCGCCAGAGTGAAGGTGTAGAGTGCACGTAGAGGTGAGAGGGGTGGAGACAGGCTTGGCATCCTGCATGTGAAAACGATGTAAGAGATCAGAAATATAGTGATGCTGCGATAGGAACAGACCACCATTGGTGGGGATCGCCTTGATGCTAAGAAAAAAATTGAGGTGGCTCAAGTCCTTAATGGAAAACTGATCCCCCATGACACGAACCAGGGAGTGAATGGCAGTAGAGTCACTGCCAGTAATGATAATATCATCTACATACACCAGAAAATAGATCCAGGTAGAAGCTTTGTGATAAATAAAAAGCGAAGTATCCGATCGGGAGTGAGTAAAGCCCTACGAAAGGATGAAGGCCTTAAGTTCTTGAAACCAAGCCTGAGGAGCTTGTTTAAGGCCATAAATGGATTTTCGGAGCCTATAGACATGATCAGGAAAATTAGGATCCGCAAACCCAGCCGGTTGTTTTATAAATAATTGTTCTTCAAGATGACCATGCGAAAATGCATTATTAACATCCAATTGTCGAATGGCCCAATTCCGACTAACGGTTATAGATAAAACAGTGCGAATAGTTGTAGGTTTAATGACAAGACTAAAGGTATTAAAATAATCAGAACCTGGGCGTTGATGAAACCCTTTAGCTGCAAGGCGAGCTTTATAGCGATCAATGGTACCATCTTTAGTCCTCTTTAAACGAAATACCCACTTGCAACCAATCAAATGCTGTGTAGGGGCAGGTGGAACCAGTTCCCACGTACCTTGCCGAACAAGAGCACTAAATTCAGCAGACATGGCCTGTCGCCAATTGGGATCTTTAAGGGCTTGAGTCACACATGTGGGTTCACTAGCCATAATGGGAGAGGTGGTTAAGGCTTGATGTAACACTTTAGGTTTAAAAATATTATTGAGGGAGCAAGTGGTCATGGGGTGTGTCCGAGTAGGATTGTTGAGGAGAGGAAGATCAGGCCTTGGTGGAGGAGGTGGTTGCATGTCACGGGTTATGGAAGATGGGGAGGCGGTATGGGATGGAGTGGCATGAGAGGTGGCCGAAGGATGGTGAGCTGGAGATGAGGAGTTGGAGGGCCCATGTGCTAAAGGGGGAGAAGATGTGGGGCATGTAGGATGAAGGACGGACAGTTGAAGGTGAGGGGGAGCATTCGGGACAGCAGGGGCAGAGGGAATAGGTGGGGTGGTAGGGACATTGAGCAACGGAGAAGACACCACTTGGACCATCTGCTCATGAGGTGCACTAGGGAGAGAGAACGAAGGCAATGGCATGTCACGTGATGTGTCCAAAAAAACAGAGACCGAAGGGGAGGAGTGGGCAGATTTATTATGAAAAGGAAAAATATTTTCATGAAAAACCACATGCCAAGACTGAAAAATTTTATTGGAGACCAAATCAAGACATTTGTACCCAAGGGTGGTGGTGGAGTACCCCAAAAACAAACATGGACGAAATCAAAATTGAAGTTTGTGAGAATTATATGGCTGAAGCCAAGGATAACACAAACACTCGAACACCCTAAGCTTAAGATAGTTTGGACGAATTTTAAACAAATTTTCAAAGGGTGAAATTTTGGACAAAGAAGAAGATGGGAGTTTGTTGATGAGATCAACCGAGGTTTGGAAGGCATGGGACCATAACTTAATAGGGAGTGAGTTGGAGTGGAGAAGGGTGAGACCTATCTCAACTATGTGTCGGTTTCGACGCTCACTAATACCATTAAGTTCTGGTGTATATGGAGGAGTTAGAAAATGAGAGATACTATGTTGGGCTAAAAATGAACGAAGAGCAATATATTCGCCTCCGCCATCAGAATGAAAATTTTTAATTTTTCGTCCAAACTGAGTTTCAACTAGGGATTTAAATTTGGGAAATATGTGTGAAATATCAAGTTTGTGTTTAAGGGGATAGATCCAAGTATAACGGTTAAAAAAATCAATAAATAGGACAAAATAATTAAAACCATCAACAGAAGAAAGTGGGGTTGGCCCCCAGACATCAGAAAATATGTGGTTAAGCGGAAAATGACTTATGATAGAACCATTTGAAAACGGAAGTTTATGACTCTTAGAACATTCACACGAATCACATAAAGAAAAATTTATTTTATTGAATAATGGTAAATGAAAAACATTGATAATTTATTTTAGGGTCTGTGTTGAAGGATGACCTAAGCGTGAATGCCAATTCGCCATAGTTGTTCTCACTCCCACTAGTGCTTATGGTCTCGGATTAATTTTTCTTGGGACTTGGTAGATCCCATGAATGTTGGGTCCTTTTAGTAGTGTCTCCCCCGTGCATGTGTCCTTCATCAAAAAGAAATTAGAATGAAATTCCACATAAACATTAGCAGTCTTGCATAATTGAGAAACGGAAATTAAATTTCGTGAAGCAGAGGGAACACAAAGAACATTGCGTAAAGGTAAAGAAGAAGTCGGAGTGGATAGCGTGGAGTGCCCCACATGGGTGATTTTCAAACCTGTACCATCGCCAATTTGCAATTCATTAGGTCCATTGTATTCTGAATGAAGTGCTAAGTTGGTCAAGTCAGTGGTCACATGATTGTTGACCCCAGAATCCAAGAGACAGTCATCAAAGAAGGCGACCGAGGAAGATGCAATATTTGCCATTGGACTGACGACTTGCACACGATAATTTGGACAATTTTTGGCAAAGTACCCAGTGTGGCCACAGAGCTGACACGCGAAATTACTAGGTTTGTTATTGAATCTGGGTCCAAAGCCACGCTTCTAATTCCCATAGTTCCTATTGGTGGAGTTTTGGGCACCCCTGTTGCCACGGTTTGGTGGCTGCAAAAAAACAGAGTTCCTATTTTGTGAGGAGCCGGTACCCATAAAAGAGGAAGAATGCATACTAGAGCGGGATGCCATCGGGGCAGTAGCAAAGTGAGTAGTTGCTGGAGTTAAATCAACTCAATTGTCTTCCCTATGAAGGCTCTCTTCATGACCAACGAGTCAGTCATGCAAATCATCAAAGGAAAGAGATGAATTGCGAGCTTTGAGAGACACAGCAATCTCTCTAAATTCTGGTCCCAATCCGTTGAGGATGTACACTGCGAGATAATCGTCAGTTAATGGTCGATCCATGGTTCCAAGTTCATCGGCAACTGTTTTCAGGTCTCGTAGATATTCCGAGACGGAGCGCCCAACACGCTTCATGTTTTGAAGTCACTCCTTTAGTGTGATTACCCGAGTGTGGGAATGATTAGCATATAGTTTGGCCAAGGTTTCCCACGCCTGTTGGGCTGTAGCAGCAGCAGTAATGTATGGGGTAATATTCTCCGAGACGGAGGTGATGAGGGCATGGCGCAGAAGTTGATCTTGGTGTGCCCATAAGCTGTATTCAGGTGTTATTGCAATTGGACAGGGATGTCTGCCATCAAGATAGCCATCAAGTTCATCACCTGCAAGCAAAGAGGTAAATTGAGCCTTCCAAGATAAATAATTTGTGGGAGTTAGTTTCATCGGAAATGCGGTTGAGTTGAAGGAAAGTGGGCCGTTGGTTAGGCCTAGGTTGAGGACAGTAATAGCAGTAGTTGTGGAGGTTTTTGAGGCAGCAGAGTTTGGGGAATCATTGGGAGTGGCCATGATCGGAACTTGTGAGAGTGATGATGGCTCTGACACCACTATTGGGATACAAGGCTCGTGATTCTGAAGGTATGTTTATTATTCATACAATTTTCACAATATATACAAGTCTCTGCAATTAGAATCCAAATACAAAAAGGAAACTGAATATATAGATTTGATACAGTAGTAATGACCAACTTATTTAGTAAATCTAAGATTTGATTTACTTTGAATTACTGTCCGTGATACGAAAATTCTTTTTTATTTTTTTTTGGTAAATTGTTGGAACAATTCTTTGCCTCTTCATTGCTAGGGTAGACAATACTTTAACTGTGGTTCCAAGCTAAACTAGGTGAAAATTCATTTAACTAACCCTCCACCTTATTAAATATGAAAGTTTCAACCCCTCAACTCACAACCTAAAGATTTTAGCCCTTCAACACTTCGGCTTAAACAAAAAAAATCCAAAATGGATGTCCAACAATCAAGTGCTTGAAATGAATTTTATATTCATTAATTAAAAATTAATTTCAATTGTAAATTAATATTATTATATTTTATAATTATTTAAAAAAAGTGTAGTACAGATAATTTACAGCTTGGTTAAATATCAAAATTAATTAATTTTAATTTTATTTGAACACTTTGAATGAATCAATTAACTAAATTAACAAAAAAATAAATTAACTTAAGTGACACCAAATGTTAAAAATTTAAAATATTTGATTTCACTATAGTTAATTAATATAAAATTTAAATTAATATACTTCAAATATATATTATTTATATGATAACGAAATTTTTAACTTATTTGATATACAAAATTTAGATTAATATACTTTTAAACTCTCAAAATTTGGTCTTACATAAATATTTATAGAATTTTAAAAAAACTCTATTAAAAAATTTTAAAAACATTTATTTAAAATAACAACACTACAATGTTAAACCTTTTTAATCCCTTTTAACTTCAAAATCAATTTTTAGGGAGTATTGTCCACGTTAGCAGTGACGTAGCAAAGGGTGATGGAATCATAATGTACACGTGACACAACTGTCCATTTGTGGTTTTTTTTAATTTAAATGGGCTAAAATCTTCAAGTTGTAAGTTGAGGGGCCGAAACTTTCATAGTCCACAAGGTAAAGGGCTAGCCGTATATTTTCGCTGGGGACATAAGAGGTTGTTCTCCCCTTGTGTATCCCATGAATAGAAGAAATCCGGCAGAATGGAGCACTTTCTCTGATTCTTGCAAAATTTTGCTTTTTGCTATCAGTTTGGGCGAGTATTATATGTAATTCAGAAGCTTAGCCGGAGACTTTGGTAAATTCCGTTCGAGAACTGAATCGGCTCCAGCTGTCTGGTAAGTTTCTGTCATTTCAGAACTCTCTTTTTCACCTTGCATTATTCTCTCTTTCTTTCAATTTCAGAAAAGTCTTTGTCACCTCTTAATTTCAACACTAATGATCATGTGCAAACAAATTTGCCCCAACGTTTTTCAATGTGACATTGTTTGGTTGGAATGATCAAGATTGTACCTTCACCCTTGACATTTCAAGCAGATTATGCTAAGCTCAAGTTAGAAATTCAATGGGAATCTATGGATTTTGTTAGCTAAGAAAATAGTGGAGAAGTTCCCCCCATTTGGTAACATGGGAGCCATGCTGGTAATTATATGACCCAACTGTCACTAAGAGCTGGTTTTATGTCAAAAATTTACCCTTAGCTGGGAATAATGGATGGGATTGGATCTTGTACTAAGTTCTTAAGGATTGTAGAGGGTATGCAGGTTCATCGTGTGTGGTTTGCTGGTTATTAAGATGGTTTTTTGTCCTTGATTGTGGCATATATGAAACATAATTTTCGGTCCTGTTTATGGCAATGCCTGTGGATGTGGATGGGTTTTTGATGATATGCTTATGAGAAATGTGGTCCCTTGGCCTTGTACTTATCTTTGAGAGCAGTAGATAAACGATTATTTTAGCATACTGGACATGCCATGGTTAAAAAGTATTTCAGTTTAGGGGAAGGGTATTTGGGGGGTTGATTTTTGAATGAACATTTAATGATTTGAATGTCGTTGGAGGCATAATATGTGTCTAGTGTGAGTATACCAGGAAGGCAAAGACAACTTTTAATTATCCCATTGAAATTAGATTTTTCCAGCATCATATAAGTGTACTGCTACTGTGTGAAAGTGATGTTTGGCTCAATTGAAGCGGTATTACATATTTTTATCTCCTAATGAAATAAAAATTTCTTCCTAGAACTTGCAAAGAAAGTAGAAATGTGTATTTTTTGAAGTAAACAGAGCCATTTCAGTGAGTTTTTCCTATAAAAATAGAGTGTGTGCTTTGATCCAACATCTTTGTAAGTAACAAGAGATGGGTGGATACACAAGACTGACAACTGTTGTTTTTTGGAGATAACCATAAATATGATCCTGGTTTGAGTGCTAAGGGAGGGATGATGAGGCTTATGCATATGGAGTTTAGCTGGACATCTAAGCCACCTTCATAAGGAGTAAAGGTACTAATATCCTAGGTAAGAAATGAGAACTCTATCAGTAATACCATTTTACATTTCAATTTTTAGTAAGTTAATAATGCTGTTTTACTAAAGAGATTTTTTGTTCTTTTGTGACATTTTTATGCAGTTTGCTCACATCTTCTTTGACTGCTATCATACATTCCTCTGGCATAACTCTGGCTTTTGTCACTCTCCAACTTCACCATTTATAGTACTCTATTTCTTGTCTGTTTGAGTATCATTGGCTATGCCGCTTGTTGCTTTGGATGCCTTGAATAAAATTTTCAAGAAAACAAGAGGTATAACCACACATGTGCATGCTGCCTTCAGACTACGAATGACAAGAATATAGAACAGACCTAGGTTAGAAGTGTAGACAATATGTTTTGGGTCAGAAACTGCAAATCATGCATTTCAATGTATTTTATCTGTTATAATTGTCAATTGTTTACAGTGTTATATTCAGTGTAAGTTTTCTGCTGTGGAAATATTCAAGGTTCAAACATGGATAAAATCGAGAAAACCAAGTGCTAGATACATGTAAGAGGATCAGCTAACTATGACTCATGGCATATCATCTGAAAGAAGAATTGGGAATACCTCTTTGTCCATCTGGCAAAGTATGTTTTGCAATTCAGTAAACTTGCTTTGGTTTTGAGTTGACAGCATTGGCCTCAATTTTTGAGAACATGATCCTAAAGAACGTATCACCAAGTTTTCTTTCTTAGACTTCAAAAGTTTTCTGATTAAGGGCTGTATATCTCCATCTCTCCTTCTCCACAAAATCTGCATCAAGAAACTGAGCAATGAATGCCCAAAGCCTGTAAATATCTTGAAAGTTAGCAAGGAACCCCAATGCAGCTGTAACTACATGTATTCCTTCACCACTTCTGTCTTTCCCCTTGTTTCCTGCAGTACCATTCGCCTCATTACTTTTTCTCTCAATAACTTTGTTCTTCTCTTCTTGGTACTTGTCGGCAAACCAGATATGGTGTAAAAATCCATAGCTAAGAGAAATGTTGCTCCGATCAGCAAGCTTCTGTACAAGAACAGGTTCAACCTTATCTCCCTTCCAATCATATACGTTGAATGCAAGTGCAGGCCCCCGATCAAATTTTATCTTTGGGCCGTATATTCTAACCAAAGGAATCCCCTCCGTGTTAGGATGTTTGAGCTTCATCAGAGCATTGACGAGCCAATTTATCAGGCACCTTGCTCTGTTACTAATCAGTGTCAGTCCCAGTGAATCAACTTGATCCAAACCTCTGCATTCCATCTCCAGGGTCTCAATTTCTTTGAGTTTAAGATTCCCCTGTTGGATATTATCAATTGCTTTCTCTGACCCCAAAGTTTCAGCGGTTTCCAACTCTTTCAACTTTGCTGTAATCTCTTCATGTTGAATCTCATAGGTTTGCCCTCTTTCCAGTCTCCCAGACTGTGCAGGGACTGATAAATGGTCCGATATGATGCTTGGTGAAGCTAATTCATCTTCTTTTGACTTAGATTTGGATTTCATCTCAACTTCATTATCAGTTCCAGAGGATTCATCCACTGAGCGAAACAGCCTTTCTGTTGGGATAAGGCTTACCATTCCCGAACTAGTGGAAGTTTCCAGCAGCTGGGCAGTAGATTTCTTCACAAACAGGCAGCCAAATCCTGATGGGTTTTCCCCAAAAACCTTGTAGAAGGAGCAAACAAGGAAGTCTGGACGAAGGAGTGAGAGGCCAAAGCTGTCCATGTCCTTCGGTCCCAAGGCACAAGCGTCAACCAAGACATGCCACCCATTCTCCTGTGCAATGTTCAGCCATAGAAAAGGATATCTAGCTCCAGTCATCCTTGAATGAAGTGGAAAGACAAAAAGTCCTCTCTTATTCTTTTTTCTACTGCCCACAACCATCTTTCTCAGATTTGCTGACTGAATCCGCAATCTTGGCCATGAGAACTCTGCCGACTTGATTTTGGCTCCTTTCTTTGCAGAGCAATTGATCATGGAGTCAACTGACTCACTCTCATAGTCGTAAACTGTGAGAAGCCTACGATTAGACTGGAAGGGGTAAGATTCTGCAAGAAGTTTGAATGCCGATGTCTTGTTTGCAGTGAAAACCATGCAATACTCGTTCTCTGAAATATTGAGAAAACTCATAATCCTCTTCTTCATTGCAGATTCCAGTCCTGACCCTTCACCGCCATGAAGTAGCTGCATCTTCAGATTCCCTGTCTTGTAGGACAAGCCAAAGAAGGGAATATCCAAATTTTGAGGGGGTGATGATGGTGGCAGAGAATGGGAAGAAGAGGCGATTAGATTTTTTGATGACTCATGTAATTGGGAATAGGAGAAAAGGCCGATGCCAAGATAATCAAGGCAGGTATGGTTGGAGAATGTGAGATGATAGTAATCCTGGGTTCGTATTTGGTCAACTTGATGGGTCTCCGAGTACCGTGGATAAGCTTTGGTGAATTCAGTGAGCGAGTCTTCCAAAGAAGGGAGAGACTCAGGGTTGGTAAACTGGGTATTTGGGAAAATTGAGGAAGCTGTTTTTTCTGCAAAGTCATGGCGGCATGCTGCAGAAGTGCTTCTGGGTTTGGATGCCTTGCTCTGGGGCTGCTGATGCTGAAGCTGGGTGAGGAAAGGTGAAGGACAGCAGGCAGGAAGGCATACTTGTGAAGCCTCCTTAAAAGAAGCTGACTGCATTTTTCTGTTCTCACTCAGTGCCCTTGATATTTTCTCATTGGTTTTTTATTTGGTTTCTTGTTGGTACTCGGTTTCTCTCAGTCAAATATATAAGAGGCAGGAATTTAAGTGTATTCCATTACATATCTGGTGATACAATGTGCTAACTCATTGAACAAGTCAATCTCCAAGTGACCTTTTGTTTCCATATTTTACAAAGTTGACCTTTTCATACCTTATAACACTTGATGCTTCATTATCCTCACCCTCACCTTACATATGGTGTGCTCTGGTCCTCAAAGTAAATAGATACAACTTACCTCGTTTTATTTGATCAAGAAAGATCATCCTGATGACTTCCATTTTGTGAAACATGATCAAATGGTGGACGTGCTCGTATAGGATAATCTCTCCCAGTCCAGTCCATGTGAAAATTAGTTGTGGTGGTCATTCTTTAACAATGATATCTTGTTTTGTTGAAAGGTAGAGGAGGGAAATGAAAGCAACAACCAGAAGTGGACGACATAAAGAACTTTATGGCAGCTAGCAATATCAGTGTTGCCGGTAAAAAGCTTCTTGGAATGCTTTATAAGTTTGCTTCAAGGTGACGGTTTTGGGCTCATTGCACTGACTGAGTCTATGTGAGTTTCCAGATTGATGGTGACGTTTAGGCAATTAATTAATCCTAAGACTCGGTTTTCATTTCCAACTGAATAATGGACTTACTTTTTTTTTTTTGCTCCTTTTGACCTTGTAAATCCAAAGATTTTCCATAGACTTTTTGTTTCTTTCATTTGTAGCTACCTCTGATGTGGTTCTTTTGTATTTTACTAGTAGAATTAAGCATGAGAGTTGCCTAGCCCAGGAGAAAAATGAAAAGAAAAGAAAGCTAGTTTGTGCAGACTATGATAAACAGAGTCCCATAATCTGCGAGAAAAAGTGAGAAAAGCAAATGTTACTGGTCTGTTGTAATGATGAAAAGGCAGAAGGAGAGGAGCTAATGCCGGGGAAAAAGAAAGTTGGAAAATTGAAAGAGAAGGGAATCTAAGTTTTTAGCACTTTGAGATTTAATAATCATGTCTTGAATTTTAGACCTGAATCTTAATGGGAAAGAGTTGTGCTGGACGAATCCTTTTTCAGATTTATTGGCAATGTGAGTTTGGTTTTAGGATTTGTAATTATTGTTGGAAAGAAGAGAAGCATAAACTTTAAAGTGGGCATTATTATTTGAGATTCATTCATGATTTTGGTTTCTCACTCCTTGAGAGAAAGTAAAGGAAGAATTTGATCATGATGTATGCAGCCGCGCACAGACAGATGCCTACAACAAGTTTGTCTATTTTCTATGACTATTCGATATTTTTCTTTTCGTTTTTATTGTGTTTGGACAAACATTTTTTAGAATGTGAATGTCATGGTTTCTAGTTAAATGACTTGTAGGTGAGATGGAGAAGGAGATGAGAAAGTGTTATGGGTAACCAAATATGTATATAAAAAAAAGATTTTATTAGCTGTGAATTTGAAATTTACTATATTAAAATTGTTGGTTGTATAGTCTATATAAAAAGTTTTATTTTTTTAATAATTTTTTATAGAACATAACAAGTAATTTAACTCAGAGGAAAGTGATAGGGAGAGGGGTTACAAAGATGCAAAATCTTGCCATCGAATGAGGAAACATTTATCTTTACAATATATTTGAGTAGAGAAAAAAAAAAAGGAGAATAAAAAGATAAGTAAGTAAATAAATAAAATAAAATAAAGAAAATTTTTAATTATTTTAATAATTAAATAAAAAAACTTTTTTTATTTCTTTTATTTTCTTCTATTCCACTCATTCTAAATATATTGTTAGGGATTTGGCCAATGCGGCAAAAAGGAAGAAACAATAAAATTCATTAAATAGAATTAAATGTAAGGTTGGTTGGGTGGGTGTGTGGGTCTTGCCTTGTGAATGGGTTTGGGATTTACACAGTATTTAACGTAGCAGGGAGGCTTGGTCAACAAAAATGGGCTGATCTATTAGTCAAACTGGGCTTGTAGAAACATTAATTTTTGTGGTCTAGAATGAAAATAGGTAATGGATTTGTGGTACATAATGAGCCGAGAGCAGCTTTGAAAAAAGAAAGCTACTTTTTAAGTAACGACATAAGACAAATGTTTGTTTGCATTGAAAAGAAGCTTTTAAAAGCAAAAAAAGAAAAGGTCAAATGAACTATGGTATGGTTAATATTCTGACAATTCTATTATTTTTGAATTTCTAAATGAAATTTTTTTTTGTACAGCTAAATGAAATTTTATTAGAATGCAAGATAATTTTAAAAAATATATATCTTTTTTCGATATTTTTCAGGAACCAATGAAGCATAGAAATTTAAGAGAAATTTAAATATAAACTATAGTAGATTAAACATAGATGTTCCATATCAATTTTGCCCTGGAGATTATGGCAAATTCATTTCTTGATGTTCAGATGATCTTTCATACCTGTTTCCATTAATTCCTTTCTAGGACTTGGGGTGCAACAATCTACATAAACATTGCACATAGTGCTATCATATTAATTAAGCCAAAGCATTCACTGGGCAACTCTCCTTTGGCAAGTAAGTCATGAGCCGTTAAATGCCAGCATATTTCTGAAATTATCATACATACATACCTGCCAAGTGAGAGGTGCCCTGTGACTGTCTTGCTTATTTGCTATGGGTGAACCATCCTGCCTGGAAAAGGCTGAAAGCTGCCCGCTTGTTATGTTTGTGAGACTTGGCAGTGCTCTTATCCGTGGCTTGAGGCAGAATAAACCATTTTTGGAGAATGGCATATGCTGGAGTGATTGTGTTTTAGATATCCTAAGAAAGCTGCTTTTAAAGATGTTGTTCCTTGGCTTCTTTAACCTCTCAACCTATCATGCTTCTCAAAGGCTGATTTTCTCCACAGCATTTTTTTTGCATTTGTTGAACGGCTTCTCCACAGCATTTGAGAATGTATGTTTTATCTTTTCCTCTCCACTCTCCATTATTAGGTCGGAAGAGGAAAAAACCTAATTCCATTACACTTGGTCGAATTGGAGTTTTCCCAAGACATTCTTTAAAGTAGCTTTTCCATTGCATCATCACTAACCAATATTTAAAGAACTAGTGGAATATGCAATCATATGGCTGCGCTACTACGATGTCTTTCTGGAATAATACATTGAATTAATCCCAAGAGTTGCATGAACCTGGAACAGAGTTTTGATATGCATATGTACCGAAGGCATTTTCGTTCGGATGTATGGAAGCAATAAGATGACAGATGTCAAGCCAAGTGCTCATGGCTTAAGAGTTTTAAACTGCAGATCTCATGTTAACTATCTTCTATTGTGTAAATATCGTACCGAAGTAAAGAATATGAGAAAATGATATATATTAAGCCAAAGCAGTCACAGGGTAACTCTCCTTTGGCAAGTTTTGGGAGAGAATGAATGTCATTTGCTGCAGCAACAACCACCATACCCTGCCAAGTGAGAGGTGCCCTGCTACTGTTTTGCTTACCGTTCTCTCAAACGTCCTTCTGGGTTTTGCTGACGACTCTTGGCCATCTTTATAAGCATTTTGATGGGGGAAGGGAGAGGAGTAAAAACCAAGGGGAGATGGCATATGCTTATGGCTTATGCTGTGAATATCCTCTGCATTTGCCTTTTGGTGTAGATTTTAAGGTGGGTCAGGTTCTTTTTCCATCCCTCCTCTTCACCATTTCCAAGTGTTGTTAAAGAAATTGTCAATCCAAGCACGTTAGATTCGTCCTATTTCATTCTCGATGCTGTGAAAGTGGGAAGAGGAGAAAAAGTTGTTTGAGTGCAGATCCTCTTTAACATGCAATCGAGGTGGAAATGAGTATAAAGAGAGCCTTCACAGACTGTCATTCTTTTACTTTTGAACCACTCCTTCTTTTTTGAATTGTCATTTTTTATTTTTTTCGCCTTTATTACCTTTTCCTTGATCTCATTTTACCTCAACTGATTTTTAGTGTAATCAAAATTTTCATCGGTAGAATTTTCACAATCCCATATAAAAAATTATCTATGTAATTTTTTTATTTGATCCAAACCATCAGTATTCTTGATTGAGGGAGTTGAGGGAGGAGAGGAGGAGAGTGAAGGAGATGTCTCCCCTCTATGTTATTTGGATAACTTCATTAACGAAGGGGGTAATGAAAGGGAGGTAGATGGAGGGCAGTAGACTCCCTCCAAATCTTTTATTTTTAATCCTTCCAATTTAAGGGAATTCAAAAGGATTAGATTTATTTTCATTTTATTTGTTTACT